CGTCGAAATTATCTACCTCATCCCCGTCTTTACAGCGTGGGGGAGGGTGTAGGAGAGGAGGGAGGGAGGGAGGGAGGGGATGAAGCGTGAGGAAGAAAACGACGGAGGAAGGGTGGTGAATTCCAGCGGGGGAAGTCGCGCGCGTCTCCATGGGAAGTTACTAAGCAACAATGAAAGGTAAGAAAGATACCGGCATGGGAAAGACCAGCGGAAAGGGAAAAGGAGGGAAAGCAGCAGGGGGAGCCGGGTACCGAGGTCTCGCGCTGTTCCGCCGTGGCCCGAGTAGTGAAAGAAAAGGGAGTCGCCTGCTGTCGCCCCCTCCACCAACCACCGAAGGGCATCCAGGATGTTGGTCTGAGGAATGCGGACAAAGGTGATATCCCGTCGATGGGCAAAAGGAAGGGTAAGGATGCTGGGGCACGTCCACGCTCGACCTCCCCTCTTCCTTCCCCCTCCCACCATCCATCCCCATGTCCCACCCGAGTCGGCGGCTCGTTCCCAGACGCAGGTTCATCGGTGAGGACCTTGATGTTCTCGCGACTGAAGCCGTATTGCTCCATGATAAATGCCTGCAGATAGTGGACAGGAATGCGGGGGGGGAGGGAAGCATGGGAGAAAGGAAGCGCGTCTTGGTCCCCTGCTTCAGACAACAGACAGCGAGGAGTCCACCGATGCCAAATACCTCCTACCTGCACGTTCTTCACGTCGTTGATGCAGCCGTGGAGCTCGGCTTTGGTCTTGAAGTAGTTGATTCCTGGAATGATGCGATACTCCGTGAGCGGGGACACGTCCGCCGGGATCCTCCCCCTGCGTCCACCCCTGCACAAACACGTGCCTCCAACTCATGGCGCCCCCACCCTTTCCTTCCCCCCAACATACATCCTCCGGGTGACGTCACCACATACGCACCGACAAAAACGGCCTTTTTCCTGCCGGAACAATCGCTGGAGAAGGGGACTGGGGCAGGGGCTTCTTCCTGGGTGCATTCGGGAGTCATGGCAGGATATGGGATCGATGGCAAGCAAGAAGATATGTCACGACACGCAGGCTTCAACAAACAAGCGTCGCTGCAGAAAAGATTGCGTGTGGGCCCCGAAGAGACAAAACTTACCTCAGAGAGAGCCCCTGGCATCTTGACATTGCCGCCCGTGACTTTCCCAAGCACATCGCCAATGACTTTGTTAGCCTAGGGGACAAGAGATTGCTTGTGTCAGTTTTAAGGCCTTGGAGGCTTGCAAACCACCCAGGGGTCAATTCTCCAACCTGGTCTTTTTGATTCGTTCATATTTTTTTTGCATATAAGTGATAAAAACGCTCACCTGCTTCTCCAATTGTTTCCCAAAAGCAGCCTTAAGCGCGTCCATATTATTTCTATATAAATTTAATGATTATTGGTTCGAATAACATTGGTACGTGCACACTCCGACGGTGTCAAATCAGCAGACGAACGGGCTCGCCAAACCACGAACACGTCCTTTCAAAACAGATATGAAGATTCACAGATATGTAACCATTCACTCGTTTGTTCGCTGCTTACAGTATCGTCTGCGTTCTCGAGGCATTCCATTTTTTACCGTGGGTATGCGGTGGTATCTCGACCTGGGGGCAAGAACACGACAAAGCCAAACCCCGAAGAACCCTGCCGGTCTGGGACCGTTCGATCTTGGAAACGTTTGGTGGCTTGGGAGGCTGCGGAGTCTTACATACATTGCAGCACACTATTTCATCCCGCAACATCACAGGCATTCCAAAACTGTCGTATTTCCTCCTGCGCGACAGGGAATATTGAGGTCGCAAAGGTCACAAGGTCCTGTCAGGTCCTGCGAATCCTGCCGCGGGCGAGGGTCCTGCTAGCGTCAGCTGTCGCAAGGATATGATGCAATGCGACCCCTCGCTCGCCCTGAAGATCTGTCTGGCCTTGCCCGTGCTGGCACTCCCACACTGGCACCCGATGTGCGCCTGTGTATGCATAAATGTGCCCTGAAGTAATATGGAATGCTTGTTGGGCAATTGTGGACGGTATCGCACTTTTTACCTGTCAAAATGTCACCTTCCGAGGGATGTGGGGGAGGGCGATGTGGATACGTACTCGTGTCCAAACCCATTTCTTGAAGTAAGCCGCAAGTATTGAAGCGGCCGCGAAAAGCGGCCCCCTTTATGTTTAAAAACAAGATAGCATGACTTGCTTGATAGTGAGTGTGTTGATTTAACGACTTTGTCGAGGGATGGCTTAGGACACGGAGATCTGCCTCTCGCTTCGATCGGCCTGTCGGACCAGGCTCCTGATGCAGAGGCGTCTATTGCAGCCTCATTCTCATCCCCCTCTTTCCTCCTTTCCCTTGGTTTCCTTCTTCCTCGGTCGTCTTATCCCAGGTAGTTTGTCATGGCCTCACCCATGCCGGCTCCATCTCCCACCGGAAGTGCAGCCGACAGCAATGCAAGTGCCGCAGCAGCAGGGACTGGGAATACCGGAGAGGGGCAGGAGGGCGGGAGTATTGGCATGGAGACAGCGCAGACATGTGGAAGTGAGGAGGGTTTCTCCTCGCTCATGGATGACGAGATGATGATCAACGACCTGGAGAGCTTTGATGGATTTGGACACCAGGTGCGGACGAAGGAAGGAGAGGGAGAGGCGAGCCCAGAGGGAAAGGGAAAGCGTGGATTGAACAAGGAGGGCTGATGAGTAAGATGGAAGGATGTTAACTAAGGAGAGAGAGGCAAGCATATAAATCACACCATTCGGTCTCTCCGTCTCTGTCCTCCTCCCTCCAGCCCGCCGATGATGTCTTGAGCTGGCTTCTGGTCAACGCCGACAATATCAATGCGGGCGCCATGGACTTCCTCGGTGAGACGGCGATGGGAATGATGTAGCAAGGGGAAAAAAGGGACGGGAGGCGCCCTCTAGCGCACGACGTGGCCAGGTGG